GGTGCGATACTGCAATTTCACCAAGATGTGCCAGTAAGTCTCTGCAACCTATAACCCGGAGGCATTTTTAATAACTGGCTTTTTTCAAGAGATATCATTTTTCTAATTCATTTACTGTTCAGTTATGGCAGGCTATACTGTTCTTGTCGCCGAGAGATGGCGCCACGGCGAGATGTCCTCAATTTCTCGGAATATTTGGAACCCAGCTTGAACAAACTTTAACATATTTGGGCACGTAAATTACAATTGTGCGAATTTTAGTGAAGAAAACAAAGGAAACTTTTCCTTACAGACCACTAACTGTTAGTCGTCGATCTAACTGCACTGCCCAGTTCACTTAAAAGTTTTATTGGTCTTTGGATGCTTGGTCCGTCGCTCCCCTCTTTGTAGTATACTGGTGCAGCCATTTTTGAAGTCTCAACATTGTTTTTTGACATTTTATTCCCTTTGCGCAGTTTGCCCATAAACTAGGCACAACTCCCCATGAATTGGTGAAGCCAATGATGCCTCTAAGAGACGATGCACCAAAACTGAGAGCGGGGAACGACCTAATCCGAGAACGGTGAGAACACAAACGCAAACGAAATAGAGGCAACTTAGGCCCGTATTCACAAACGCTCCTTCACTCAAGGGCTCCCCTCGACTTGACGAAGTCAAGGTGGAGCGTGCTCCTCCACTCAAGGGGCCGCTGCGTTTCATGAACGCTCCTCCACACTTCCTTCGCCAAGGGAGGCCTTGGAAATGCTCCCTTCACTTGAGTGAACTGCATGCGCCGAGAAAAGCGCCTGATAACGAGAGTATTCGCAATTGTGGTTAAGAATTGCCTATCTATGTACATTAAGAGAATGCCTTTTCTTGTTATTCTTTTTTCTAGATTGACATTACAGCAAAATACGTGCATTTAGAGTGGTAGTGTTGTTTCCCTAAGCCTTGTGCTGATAGAGTTAGCGAAACCCTCCTTCAAGTCTGGCAACAGTCGAACCCAGGCAGCTGAACGAACAGCTGATGGCATTTCGTCTGCTGCTGAACTTGTCTACCTGATTACTTTATTTTGTCTTGTATGCGTCTATTAATTGCAGTTTATATTTACGGTAGTGTTTGCGTGTGTGTCGTTTGAGAGCCTACTTTCGCCGGGGTGACTAACGAACTACGTGAGTGATGACAGGAAGCGCAATAGATGGTTTGTTGCTTTGTTTACTTTCGCTTTACTGAGAGCCTTCTGATCACTAATGTAGCCACCGAATGTATAACGCGGCGGAATGAGTATTTTTTACTATTTATCACAGTATTTTGGCGTGCTTTTAGCATTCACCACCGCACTATGTATAAGGATTACTCGTACGTAAATTCGTTCTCGCTACGGGAGTACGTGCACAGTTCCTAATTTCAGGGGCCTGTGCAATGTTTATTTTTCTCATTTACTGCGAATTTCACCGTGGCGCTTTCGTAGTTGTTCCTCTGCGTGTAATAGGAAATTTGAAAGACATTCCTCGCAACTGATATTCAAGGTTATACCAGGATAGCGTTAAAAACTAGGCATGTTATACTCATAGCTGAGCGTTCCAATTAGACTGCTATGCAAGTTAAAAAAAGCGATCGTGTGCCTTTCTTTCACTATTGGCGAAAAATACATTTTAAAGTTTTTTTATTCACCTAGTAACATATATAGTCGGTTAACAGGGACTGGTGTGTGTGTGTGTGTGTGTGTCAACTTTCACATTTTAAACTTCCAAGGAATAAGTTATTGTTTTTGCATTGTTTTTCTATTTGCCCTGCATTTGTGGATGCGTTTAATTTGAGAGATTCGCATAGAAGTAATCTTTAAATTTGTGTAGCTTCCGTCTCCAAGTTCACACAGCGGCAACGTCTTAAATTTTTTTCCCGTCTCCTTCATCTCCATGCTCAGAAGCACAATCGTTAGTGCATGAATGACCTTCGCACTAATGTTTTGGATTTTATTTGCAATATAACTACTGGAAATACCTGTTGAAAAGGATCGTGGTGTCTGTGCTGCATTCCAAAGCCCCGGCACAACATAAATTATAGGGGATGTTTTATATTTTTGGAAATCATAAAATTGAAGCCGCGTCTGACTTTTGGCGCTGTTCTGTTTTTAATACTATCCTGTGGGTTCTCTCAACCTTCGAGAAAGTGTCGTCAAGAGCAGCATATATTATTCTGCTGATTTATTGAAGACCAGTGCAACAAAGCGATGAAAAATGCTCAAGAGTATTGCAGTCATCGCGGATACACCTGGTCAGAACCCTGTAAATAAAATATCTGCTATTGCTGCATCATTAGCAAGTCTACCAGTTAGAACCACGCCATCTCAGTTCCGTGAAAGAGGAGTGGTGCTGCTTTATATAAAACAAGTTTAATTTTCCTAGAACTGCTTTCCTGTAGAATCGGAGAAGTGGTTTTTGCAGTCTTGTCTCATCATGAAAAGACAAACACGACGATAATTATGTATTGATAAATGAACAAAACAGAAGTTGTGAATGGCAAATGGACCTTTATTACATGTGGCTGATGAGGAGCAACGTGGCAAACATAAGAATGCAAATGAAAAGTGTTCATCAATCAAACATATGTAACCTATACACTGTAAAGATAAAGTACGAGCTCGGAGGACATCATAAATAAAATTAAGAAAGTAAACACCATAGCGCGCCTAATGCAGTGTAGCTCCACGCATTCACTGCTGTTTCTGTGCTTTTGTATACAGTCGTGCAAGCTCTGCAATGCATTGATAATACGATAGATTCTAGGAGGCCTTTTCTCTGTGTTCTTCTGTCGGCAGCTGCTCCCCTGCACAAAAGAGGCAAGAAATAATAATAGAAAAACGTAATAGCTTGGATACAAAAGCCGCATTTTTCTTTAATTCTAGCTGTGCACAGATTCATTAGTATGTCTCGCGTTCAAGAACAGACTCGGTTGAAGTATTGAGCTTTGACTATTTTGACACATGTTTGGCTCAGGCACTTGGGCAGCTTACCAGGCATATGAGTATATAATTTCATTATCTAATTGCACGAATCAGTGCCATAGCCAGCAATTCTTCTTTGGGGGGTAGCAATGGGGTTAAATTGAAAAAAAAAAAACAATCTCATTATGTATCTGCTGTATTTATATTTCATATGTTTGCGTTTTCATACGACACTCGACATACTTTTGCGTACATGCAGGTTTCACAGAGCATGATCATGTGCTTGATCCCCTAAATGTGTACTTGGTTGTTCATTGGTATTGTGAGCTGCTTAGACAATGTATAAAGAAGCTATGTTTCACGCGTAGTAGCTACAGCAGCACACTCATTGTGCCCAATGTATTGTGTTGTGCTTTTCTTAAACTGTCTTTAATAGTAATCTGACCGAAGCAGGAAAAAAATAAAAAAAAAACACAGGAGAACTTACCTTCTCATTGGTACAAATGGTCGTCTAACAGAGGTGTGCTTCGTCGTAAATTTTGGCTAGGGCAGCAAAGGTTCACCGGAGAGGAAGCCACTCTAAAGTACGGTGAACCCAGCGCATCAAAAGTTTGCAATGCCCCTTGCTTGTCAAGCTTTCGCACCACGCTTGAACTGACGCGGTCTGCGAGCTTCATCAAAACACTTCAAAGCACAGGAATCCGCAGTAAGTCATGGAGCACTCGCACGAAGAGTATACGCACACCCGAAGGCAGGTAATCCACTGGCTCATGCACGGAACGCAACACATCACGGCACTGGTGAGTGCTCCTTTTGACACCACGCCCGCTTATCCCGGCGCCACAGCAGCCGTTGCTGAACCGTTCGAAGACAGCTACGTAGTAAACACGCACCGTCATTGTCGAAAGAACGCGGCAGTGGCAGCCTACTTGATCGAGAACCGCCGTCAAAGTGAGACGGGCTCCGCCATGGACCCGATGCTGGCGTAAATATTTCACTCGAGGGACGATTCAAGGTAGCTCGATCGCTTCCTTGACAATCTCGAGGAAACGCTGAAGATTTTTTCAAGTGAAGGAAGCGTTTCAAGTGAAGGGCGGTTTGTGAATGGGAAAACGCCACTTGAGGAGCGTTTCGAGTGAAGGGTCGAGTGGAGGAGCGTTTGTGAATACGGGCCCTAGTCTCGCATCTCGCTCGGTACGAAGTAAAAAAATAACAGGCACATATTCCATTTGTATGTTTCAATATTTCTATCAACGTATTGAAGCAGCAGATTGCCGAAGTCACACTTGTCGCCTCGAATAATTCTCGCAGTGTCACATACTACTTTGGCTTATGCAGGACAATTTTTTGTTCCATGTGACTTCCGCCATGTTGGGGTGTACGCTCGTAAGATGAAGTGCAAGCAGCGTGAAGTCTGGAATTTCACCTTTTTCTGGGGCGCGTAGCATTGTAAATCTTGGTGGACGACATCACTAGCGCCCAGGTAATGCATTTCTATTGGCTGCTCGGTATGCTCAAACCTGGTGAAGGACCAATTTAGATGTTTACAGACAAAGGAGAGACTGACCCTATGCGATTAGGCCCGGTTAACAAGAGGCTAAAAGACCCCTTTTAGTGGTGTGGCTACTTGCTCCTGTGCTGCCCTTCTCAGCCATGCCTAGAAGAAAGAGACCAAGGAGTTTATTTGATGGTGGACACTTAACTCCCCATTTTGGACAATGAAAGGGGAGACCGTGTACTGCAAACCTTGCGGGAGAAAATTACATGGCTACGCTCAGCCACTAGCACCTTTCTTTAAAATGGTTTGTTCTTTCACTCGAATCAAAACCAAAACACAGGAATAAACGAAGCCATTAGTGTGTTCCCCACCCGTGAGCACAAAGACTAGGCAAATCTATGTACTACCCATCATTCCCATGGTTGCTGAACGATCGCAGTGCCAGAGTACCCTCTTGTTACTTAAAAAAAACTATATGTCTAGTGATCATAGTCGAGGAAACATTTCCAAATCACTACACAAGATGTCTCAATGTGCACAAGCATCTTGAGACCTTCAACATATTGGGAACTCAAGTTAGGACATGAAAAGAGTATTTAATATACTTATAAACACTTGAAAATCTTCAGTGTCCATTTAATACCAACATACATACCAAATTCTATTAGGTTATGAGGTCTGTGTGCCCGTCGGCACAAGTATTATCATTACAAGTACTAAGGTAGTTCTTCAAAAGCAATTAGTCATTGGTGATAGCGATTAGCTTCCAGCATTTTGCTTATGTACCACTGGTGCCAAATGAACCAATTACGCGACCAGTCCATGGCAGCAGCATTCACTTGGTACTGTGCTATTATGGATGGGACTGAGGAGGCTACTGTGGCAGTCTGGAACAAGTGACCTTCCCTAAAGCATGTTGCTTTGATTGCATTGCATTGTTGTGCACACTCATTACATAAGCTTATTTCGGTAGGATGACAACTGTCACTAGAATTGCAATCTATTCCTGCCTGTACGTGAAACCTCTTCAAAGGCGACAAGTATGTCTGGCTTGTGCGAGCTGGGAGCAACGACGACATAAGTTGTCGAGTGGGTGAACTGCCTTTCAAGTGTCCAAAGTGAAGAAGCAAGTTCTCTCCAACACTTTTGCTTCGGCCAGAACTGACAACCTTTGGCTGTTTTCGTTCTTGATGGGCAACAGTGCCATTGTCTTTTAATGATTCCCCCACCAAAGTTTCTTTCAATTCCTTCCTGATGTCCTGCGACCTTGGTTGCAGACAGAGACTTTGAAGCATCCCATCTTTTATCCTTGCTGTTGCACCTGACGATGAGCGTTCGTGCTCTAAGTTGTGTAGAGCGTGACTCTTCATTTCCAGGGCTTTAGATGTTACGCCCAACTTACCTGGTATTTTTTTCAGTGAACCAGTGGTTTCTCTCACTTGAGCAGCACTGCATCTTTTATTCAGCTTGCATTCTCTAAGACCTGAACGATTTGTCGGGGGCTGTGGAAAGAAGCCATCACGTATGACAGTGTCCCCTACGTTTCTGCTCATAACTTCAGACACTGAAGCCTGCACACTTAATTCCTGCTGCTGTTCAATGGTCTCCACATACACAACTTCTTCTGTTTGCGGCTTTTCATGGCTATAAACAACCTCCTTTATGTCCACCGCCTCTGGAGAAATGTCACCTGGCTCCTGCTCTTTTTTAATGTCATCAGCTGTTGCATCAATATGCACCACTGTTTTGGAGTTTTCTGCTTTACACTCATCATGCCTATCAATGGCTTCATCCGTCGAGGGACATGCACAATTATGCTCAGACACTCGCCGAGCAATGGAAGTCTTCAGTGTTCTACCAGGTTTAAAAACAACACCGCACGCTTTGCTGAATGCTTCTTTCTCTACTTGAATGCGGGCCGCCAGCTCCTTGCCCAGTAAAGGATCTGGTGGCCACTGAAGAAGAGGCTGCAGACGTGGAAGCACCTTCTGGCCCACGAGGATCTCTCTTAGCTTCAATGAAGGCTCCATCACAGGCTGCAAAACGTTATTTTTGGCTCTACTCATGCTCTTTCTTGGTGTAAGTTCCGAGGGGCCCAGCAGTGACTGCATCACCTTTGGGGGCGCTTCTTTAGGATCATTCCTTGGGGTTGATTTGACTGTACTCATCGACAACTGCATTGCTTGTATGCCTGGTCTCACTGAACCACTTTCAGCAGGAGGTTGCAATACTGCACTCACTGGTAGCAGCGTTTCTTTCATATAGATTTCTTCTGGACTATTTGTAGGTGACGACTCAGGTGCATTTTTTGGCATCTGTATCAATTGTGCACATGTCACCATAGAAACGCTTTGCAGAAATGGTGGATTAAAAGAACCTGTTTCACTGTAGCTATTTTCTTGACAAGGTGTGACTTCACTTGAAGGTTCTTGTACCATTGCCTCTTTAATTCCTTGCTCTGAAACATCACTGCTCGCATCACCATTCAGATGTACATTGTCGTTCTCGCATTCACAGCTCGGGGAACCTGCATGACAAAAAAAGCAAAGCTTCTAGAGCATGTTCACCTTCAATCAAGCATGCAAACATAACAACCCAATACATACTATGGTCTTAAGTGATGCTCCTTGATGGCACCAGGGCACATATACATGGGGCACACTTTTGTCAGTTTTATTTTAAAGTTAGTCTTTGGGAGATAACTTGATCTTTGCCGGTCATGTCCCATATGCTTGATGTCAATGATGATGATGATTATAATGACTCCAGTAGCATCAGAACATGACCTTGCAACAACATGACATAACTAGTGTGCAGTGAATGCAATGAAGATTTGCTATCATGCCTTGAAATTGCACATTTTTGACCTCCTCTAGGAACTTCTTAATTGAAAAGGTCTAGCTCACAAGAAATTATTAAAAAATTAATTTTATTTGAACGATTTGCTTTTCGAGAAAGTGCTTCCAAAAGAATATCAATGGGGGCAATACATTGTGCAACTAGCATAGACAGGCCATTCCCAACAATCTTGTGGAGACAAGTTTTCTAGAGGCTTACCTTACGAAGCCACCAGGAAGGGACGCGACAATTTACACTGCCGTTGCGCACAAAGACACTACAGCCAGGTTCATCGACTCTCAGACACAGCATAGAGATGGCATTCGAGGCAGGTCGAGAACAAACAAGGGTTTATTTACCCAAGATACAGCACAGTGTGACAGTCACAGGCTTTGCAGGCCGGTAGGGAACTCAGCAAGACCGACTGAGTGTACGCTTGCCGGCATGCGCTAGGGCTAACACTAAAACAACAGCAGCCGAACACGTATACAAGAAGCCATGTGCTAAAGCAGAGCGTCCTTTCGTGCAGTGGCCTTTCGTGCAGGCCACTGTGTATCTGCCCGGCGGCGAAAGAGCACCGAGCGAAGGCAAGTTACCGGGGGAGGGACTGTCACGGGCGATTAATGAGGATCGGCAGAGCACCGTGACGTGTGCTAGCCCGACATGGGGGGGGGGGGGGCACGTTTTCTTGGCAAGTGTGGACATGTGTCTCATGTAGAGAAAACCAACTCACGGCTTGGAGCAGACAAAAGGGTCTGGCACCGAAACAACGGTGACCATGTTCCCGCGGCGCTTGAGCAAGCTGGGGGAATGAGGCACCAAAGAGGAGGGTGTGCTCGATTCCCACATCTCCCCTCCTAAAAAATGAGGCCAGCCTGTGAAATAGGCTGCCTGAGGCTAAATGGCAAGGTTGGCTCAATTGCAAGGGGGCTGGCCAACGGGGCAAAGTCCAGCAGTCTTCACGAAGGCCAGAACCGAAGGGCGTCACACAACACGAAGAGGCGAGGTTGTTGCTTCTGTTGACATGAGCCCATCGTCGGCCAGGGTCGCCCAACAGGTTGTGATGAGGTTCTTCGGAATATTTGGATTAGACGGACTTTGTTGTGTCATTGACCACAACGTCTGTAAGAAGGTCAGTGAGGCTGTTTTATGTGTCCTTCGCTTTGTGAAAACATCACACCAAAATGAACACACATCAAATATGCTATAGAGGAACACAACGCGATACCACACAGAAAAAAACTCAAAAAGCAACACACAAGCTGAGTCCTATCACGAGAGTGTCTCCTCGGTCAGTGCTTGAAGCTTATGCAGGGCTCGTCATATATGTAGAGGAGGTGTAACGCGGGATTGTGGACACCACAGGCATTCCATGAAGAGCCGGGCAACGCTCAGATTTGTGCACCGGAGGAGCAGGTAAGTGTCGAAGACAGGGCCGACAGAGTCGGGCAGTCTTCTCCTCAAACGCATGGACCACAGACCACAGCCAAGCACTTGGGACAAACCGTGATCTTGAGGCTCCGGTAGCTTCCCACTGGCTCCGTAGATGTCGAAGTGACACTCAAGGTCTCAAGCGAAGCAGGCCGCTCGGACTCTTGAACTACGCCAGGCACTCTGGGCAAACCACGACTGTGATGCTGGCGAACTTTGCCAACCTGCGTGGCACTTCTCGGGTAGACTAGTCGGCCTCTCATTGGAGCTTTCTGGGTTGCCGTGTTTGAGTCACTGGCCCCTAAAATCTTCATGGTAACTGCTGATTGGGCCACTTTCCTCTTATGTTATTGACGTAGCGCCCTCGTGGTGATTTTCCTCCTCGTCTTTGTCGCCAGGCTTCTGTTTGCGCGTGCACTGCTTGTCATATCACTTTTAGAGTCGCGCACCTTTCCAAGGCACTCACCTAACACGCGCACTGCACTCATCACACGGTTCCACCAAAAGTTCTGCCAAAAGCTCACTCACAAGGTCACGAAGGCTATCAGACTTATCGAGCGAGTTACAAACAGAAGAGGGGGCAGAGGGAGCCTGATTAGGCTAATACTCTGCTTTATCATTTGTCATATCGCATACGTAGTGTCTATGTACAACAGGTAAAAGGCAAAAAGAATAAGATTAATATCATCATCCGCAAGGCATACAAATGTCGCCCTCGGCCCACCAGAATCAACCAGCACTGAGACATTACTCCAACCAGGGATTCATAACACCGAATGAAATAGCGAAAGCACTGCGAATCTCGCACTTCGAAAGGCTTACTTTCCCGAACACAGAAAGGCATATACTACAAGAGTTGATTGATTGATTGATCGATCTGGCCATAACTGACCCTGAAATTTAACTGTGCTCAGTGAATCGCACTCAGCAGTACGAAATTTTGCTAAGGGTGGGATTTTGACTAAAGCTTTTCGCGTACTGGTGCATGCCAGCCAGATCTCCCAGCTACCTTGATCTGAATCCCTACTCATATGGGGAAAGTCTGCTCACACTTCCCCAACCTTAACGAGGTAGCACACTCTGCTGCATGCGATGCAACACACCGTGCAGGAGGCGATGGCTTTGTTGAAGAGACATGCAGACCGGATCGACTTACGGAATTCAATGAACTGACCAAGGCGGTCTACTTGGCCCGCCGATGCTATCCTCCGCCTCATGACAATTTATGCAGAGCCCGACAGTTACCTGGCAATAGCTTCAAATGAACACTCACCCTAATCCACTGCTATATTACTGATTATACCCCGAAATATATAGCACCAACATCAATAAGGTCTGCCAGACAGACACAGCCACGCTACCACACATGCTCTGGGAATGCGAGGCTAAAGCGACGCCTATTAGTCCTGATGTTTTTCGGCGAGTAAGGAAGCTGCTCTGCAGAACTCCAAGCTCGCCGACCAACTCTGGGCAGTCCAGCAGGCCAGTGAAGTGGTGGAGAGGCAAGGCCTCGATGTCACGACATGGGAGACCTGAGCCCGGGATGCTAATTTGCAGTTTTTCCACCATCGCCATTAGGAAGATCGCACTGCCAGGAAGGAGGTATGCATCCCAAAAATAAAGGGGCAAGAATGCAAAACGGTAGGCAACCAGCTCGCTTGAAGTCTGGAGAAGTACACAGCTGAAACGTACGAGGCTTGGCCGAAAGTTGTGTGCAGCAGCCAACCGCTGAAAGTCGCTGGGGTGAGGGCTGGCAGGAACGGCCGACTGAAGCGGCAGGCAGCCAGGAATAGACTCCCGGGTAACCACACTCGGGCCTGGGCCAAAGCTTGAGTGGGTGGACAAGCTGCCAAAAGAGGCTGCCTGTGCCACCGGGTGGGTTGGGCTGGATCAGCAAGCTTAAGGCAGGACTCAGACCACCTCGGAGATGACCAGAAGATTGCAGGTCACCGGCCATGAATATGCTGACTGGAGCGGCAGGCAGCCAGGAATAGACTCCCGAGTAATCACACTTGGGCCTGGGCCAAAGCTTGAGTGGGCGGACAAGCTGCCGAAAGAGGCTGCCGGTGCCACCGAGTAAGTTGGCCTGGATCAGCAGGCTGAAGGCGGGACTCGGGCCACCTCGGAGATGACCAGGAGGCGGCAGGTCACCAGTCAGAAATAGGCTGGCGGCACAGTTGTCAGGCCCTAGGAGATGACAGGGCGACGAAGAAGCGAACAAGAATGCCTCCGGCATATAGCCGGCTTGCCGAAAAGTGTGCACCTACTTGACGGTGCTACCCAACAAAGGGGGCGCTTGCTAGGGTATAGCTTGGACAATACATCAGAGGGTATTTTCGGCCCAGAGGGCTTTCTACCACTTCTAGACATGTGTCGGCGCACCACAGTTGTTCATCTCCCTTTACTAACAAGGCCTCGAATAAAGTCCAGCTACCCGCTTATGTTTATAATGGCTGCTTAAGTGCGCTTCCACATGTTGTACCGGTGGCATGACTTGGGGCCAGCTTTCTCATGTTTTTCCTGTGGTCATGGTTCTTCTGTGGGTCAGTGAGCGCATGCGTGTCGACACCTAAGTGGTCTCGGAAGGAAGGATTGGGTTGGGCGGTCAACTGAACTGCTGACAAAAAAAGGCCAGCAAGCAGAGACGACGCATAGGACGAGCCCGTTTGTGCGTGCGTCTCAAACAGCTGAGACAGCCCGCAACTGGCTTGGCTGGGACCATAATCTGCATTGGAGTGGTTATCACCGTAGGGGGCCCCAAAGAAAGGATCTCTCCAAGTGACCGTAAGCAGATCGCTTAGGCGACCATATGTCATGCTGTCAGGTTCATCCGCATCGAACAAGATCGATCCCATCGCCACGGGGTCGAACTAGAACAAGCACCTCGAGTACGTCTGCGCTAAAACCACGTCGAAACCAAGTTGGGCGCCAGTTATGTGGAGATAGGTTTGCTAAAGGCTTACCTTACAAAACAACCGAGAATGGACATGACAATCTCCACTGCCGTTGCACACAAAGACGCTAGGCTGGGTTCGTCGACTCTCCAACACGGCGCAGAGATGGCACTCGAGGCAGATAGATAACAAACATTTATTTACTCAAGATACAGCAGTGCAACTATCACGGGCTTGCAGGTCTGTAGGGAACTCCGCAAGACCGACCAAGTGTATGCTTGTCGGCAGGCGCTAGGACTAACACACAAAGGATAGCAGCCGAGCGCACGTACAAGAAGCCACCTGCTAAAGGAGCATGTCCACT